CGTCCTGGGAGATCAGAGATTTCTCCAAAGGCAGGCAGCCAGGCAGCAGGTCTCAGAGAGAGGGCTCTGGTTCATGCCCTGGCCCTGCCCTGTGACTGCATGGCCTTGCTGAGGCGCTAAACCTCTCTGCACGCCCCTGTCCCCATCTGTAAGATGGAATGATTTACGTAACTGCAGGACACAGTGTCAAGGCGAGGTTTGAGTGGCATCAGGCCTACAGAGCGTGCCAGGTACCTGAAGCAGCCTCACTTCCGCAAGGGTTAATTGCCGTTATTGCTGCTGTTTTGTTATTATCGTCCACTGCCGAACCTCGGGCCCACCTAAGGGAGCGGACTCGTTGACCGCCACGTCCAGGGCCCTTCCACGCCTAGGCAGGCGCTTGTTGAAGACAGAGCACCTGATGTTTCTGTCCTGATTCAAGGGCAAAGCAAATCTGTGAATCTTCAGGCTGAACATTTTCCTATTTGAGATCTGAACTAAATACAGACAGCCTGTTTCTAAATTTAGTACGATGAATCTCTCTGTTCAATTCTGGAGCTTTTCACTGTCACCAACCAGCACTCCCCAGTGAGGTTTAACGACGCAGACCTTTGATGGGAGCTGAAAGAGAGTGTCCTCTGTCAGGCCTGGGAGTCAGGGAACAGGACAGGAGGGAAGAGGCCCTGAGACCCTCTGCAGAGGAGACAGGGAAAGACTACGTGAGAAGGGAGGAGCTCCCCCACCTGCATTTCACTTGCCCTGGCTTCTCCTGGTGGAAAAGGCATGTGAACCATGGTGGGAAAAACAGCACTAGCCAAAGAATCAAAATTAATGATGCATATTTGGTGAGAAGGTGACATGGGGTAGAGCAACTCTGATTTGTCCTGGAGAGACATAGAAATCGCCGTGAATTTAAGAAAAGACTGAGCCAAACAGCCTTTGGAAAAGGGACTAATCAGGCACTCATTGGGAAAAGCACTTACCCATTATGATTAGGGTTATCACCTCAAAAATAAGAAACAGCTGAACTAGAGCTGGTGCGATAGACAGATAGTCTACAGGAATAAAACCTTCCCTGATTTCTGCTTTACTATTCCTGGCGGGTACAGGGGCAGGGTAGCTCTTACTCTCCTGGTCCAGAAGGGCTGCTGATGCTCCAGCCATCAAGTCATGCTCCCAGCAGCAGGATGGAGGGGACCAGAACAATGGCATACTCCTTCCCTTTTCAAGAGACTGCTCCGAGGCCTCATGCAACACACAACTTTTGCTTACACCTCATTGGAAAAAACCTGGTCACATGGTCACATAGAGTTGCACGGGAGACCAGGAAATGTTGCCGCAACATGCTCACTGAAAAACTGTGGCTTAATTAATTTTAGAAAAAGGGGAAAGGATATTTGGAAGGGAAATTGATTTTTTTTTTTAAAGGAAACGGGTATTTGTAAGAGAAATAGATGTTTAGAAAAAAGGGAACGGATATTTGGAATGGCACATCAGGCACTCTGCAGAATGAAGACGTAACTAGGTGAGCGTTCACGACCCCCTGAGAAGGAATCTGGCACTGCCTCAGGACCACCACAGTCACGTCTTTCTGTGCAGTCGGGGGAGAAAGCACAGGAATGGGCTGTGTGGAAATGTCTGCAGTGACACCCTCTAGGTGAATCAGTGACCACATGGCACCACGCACTGGGGAGGTGGCCGGCCTTCCTAACAGGACATGGAGTTTTCCTCTTGCTTAAAAGAAGGATGAGGGCAGGGTTGACCTGTAATGGAAGTGGTCACGGGAAGATGGCTCCCCAGGAGGAATGAGTGTGCTGCCCAGAGAGGCTGCTTTCAAGAGAGAAGCCATCCTTACACTTGCTCTGTGGCCCTGAGTCCCAAAGAACAGCCCGTTTCACACAGGTGTGTGCCACGCGTGCAGACGAGGGTTGTGCTATGTCGGCGTCCAGGCAGGATCCACCGTGTGCTTCCAGCACCGATAAAAATGACCCGAGAGGGAAGACACGGAGATTACCAGATAGAGCACAGTCCCAGATTCCCTATGGTGTTCGAGCTGTGCGGGGAGAATGAGGGAGTGGAGGCAAAGAAGGCCACGGGGTGGGACACAGGTGCAGGAATAGGGCACCAGGAAGACACAGGAGCAGCGTCCCCCAAAGGCTGGGACACATGGCCCTGTGGCCCACTGAGCCCCCAGCTTTTCCCTCCTCCACAGCTTTCCTCTGGTCTCACTGCCCTCCTAGTTGGGCTCAGACTACTGCTGTGCTGGGAAATATTTAAAATCCAGCCCAGGGGCTGGACGTGGTGGCTCAAGCCTGTAATCCCAGCACTTTGGGAGTCTGAGGCGGGTAGATCACAAGATCAAGAGATCGAGACCATTCTGGCCAACATGGTGAAACCCCATATCTACTAAAATACAAAAACTAGCCAGGCATGGTGGTGCACACCTGTAGTCCCAGCTACTTGGGAGGCCGAGGCAGGATGATCGCTTGAACCCCAGAGGCGGAGGTTGCAGTGAGCTGAGACTGTGCCATTGCACTCCAGAAAAAAAAAAATCCAGCTCGGGGACTGGGGTTGCTGATGTGCATGTTTGCCAATTTCTCTGGTGTAAATGCTCCCGGAGGCAGATTTCCTTCAGCCAGTGCATCACTGAGCTTGCAGTAGCTGCCACTGTGCAAGGGGTCAGCCTTCCAGACAGCATGACTCAAAACAACCCCCATTCCAGCATGGGCAACTTGGTGAACCCCATCCTGCAAAGAATACAAAAACTAGCCAGGTGTGGTGGCACATGCCTGTAGTCCCATTACTGAGGAGGATTGTCTGAGCCTGGGGGGCAGAGGTTGCCCTGAGCAGAGATTTTACCAATGCCCTCCAGCCTGGGCAACATAGTGAGACCCTGTCTCAAAAAGCAAATAACCTCAAGACCACAGATAGTAGTAAAATGCTCTAATATAACCAGAAGGTAATACTTTCTGAATGTTTATTACCTTTTTTAAAAAATACCATTTATTTAATATAAAGTTGTGTGGCTTGACTTTTGTTTTTAATAATGGTGAAGTTCTGATGAGAGGCCTGGCTGCTCTGACAGCTTCAGGAGTATCTGTTCATTTGTGCTTTGAATGTACGTTCACTTATGTATCAGCATACCTGAAGAAATGGCCCTCTTACTCCATGGGTGAGGCCTCTTCTCCACGGGATTAAAGTGTCATTAGTAACTTCACCTCTTGTTAAAGAAGAGCTAGGTGAACTTGCCACCAAAATGACTTTTTCACTCTCACCACCTTTGGTCTTCTCTCTGCAGGCCCTGCCATCGCCACAGCACAGCCCGACCACGGCTGGAGCGTCCTGAGCTGTCCATCACCCTTCGACCGCACGTCCGGTGTTGCACCATCTTCAAGGGTGTGTGGGGCTGGGGAGCATCCAGGAGGCCCGGGCCCAGCCTTCGGGAACCCAGGGTCTTTCCTCCGCATCTACCTCTGACCTCCAGCGCACACAGCAGCTGCAGGTGCTGGAAGTCAGCACCTAAGACACCTGAGGACATCTCCTGCCTTGAATGCCAGAGTGGACTGCATCTTGGACTGATCTTGTGGAGATTTCTGGTCTCTTGTATCCAATGCACGCGGGTCCCCGCCGCTGCTGGAGTCAGGCTGGTTGTCGGAGTGGACTCCGCACCCTCATCACACCTGATGGCTCTCTTTTCCACTCCAAGCTCACCACGCTGGGACCTGCACCACAGACAGCCCCAGGACCATGCTTGCAAGACCACATGGCTGGCTCGCCATTTCTGCCTTTCAGTGTCTGGGAGTTTTTCTTTTGTCTTTACTTGCTTATCGATGAATGAAGAGGAAATGAAGACTGATCAAGACCCTGCCTGGAACGTTTCCTCGGCAAAGAACAAAAGCAAAGCAAAGGATTCATCCAGGCAAGGAGTTGAGGCTCTTCCCCTGTGCGGGAGGAGAGTGGGAGGATGTGGCCCGGGACTAGCTGGGCCCCGCCATGCACATGTCCTGAGAGCTGGAAGCATCAGGCAGCCACCACGAAGCAGCCCAGGCACCAGCACCCATCCCTGTGCTTGGGGATCAGCGAATCTAGTTCACCAATGGGCCGTCCGTGGGGAAGGGATGGGCCCGCAGACCTGGCTGCTTAGCTAACTGCAGTCAGTCAGACCTCGTGCACGATGAATGCCAGATTGAAACTCATCACAGCAAATGCCTAATCTCTGAGAACAATATAATGTATTTACAAGGAGCTTATTAGATATTAGATGCACCTTTCCTAAACAAGGTGTTCTCTCACGAGGCTGATTTCTAGCCTCCTGAAGAGCAAAACCTGTCACCGACCCCAGAGCAGCAGGCAGAAGAGAAATTCCAAAATGCCCTAAAGAGCGAAAGGCTCTGTGGAAAAGACCAGGGCTTGTGCAGGTGGGGAGCTCACCGCCCTGGGAAAGAAGCCCTCACCTGGATGCCACAGGTGCCGGCCTGAGCCAGGGCTGGTGCTGATAGAGGAGCTCACTGCCCTGGGATAAAAGCCCCTCACCTAGAGGCCGCGGGTGCCACTCTGAGCCAGGGCCCATGGGAAGCTTCCGGGCACAGATACACACAGACTTAGCAGACAGGGTCCTGCTGGAATGCTCTGACATTTCTGGGATCTGGACTGTCCATGGGGAGTGGCCAGGAGGGCATGAGAAATACGCTGAGTTGGGGCCAGGCGTGGTGGCTCACACTTGTTTTCCTAACACTTTGGGGGACCAGCCTGGCCAGCATGACAAAACCCTGTCTCTACTAAAATAGAAAAGTTAGCTGGGCATGATGGTGCATGCCTGTAGTCCCAGCTACTTGGGAGGCTGAGGTAGGGGCGGAGGAGGTTGCAGTGAGCAGAGATCGCACCGCTGCTCTCCAGCCTGGGCTACAGAGTGAGACTCTATCTTGGGAAAAAAAGAAACACACTACTTTGGAACTCACTGTATCACATGCATCAAGGCCTATTTGCATAAAACAGTTATTCCAAGCAACAAACATCACCAAATGCGTACAGTGTCGCCCAGTGTGACGTTCTCAGGTGACTGAACAATGCAACGAAGTGGACGCCTGTGCTGCGCACGTGGTCTGTGCTGCGCACCCCCCATAGCCACGCCTTTTCCTTTCTTCCGCCAACTCTCCGCATAGCCCGTGACTTTGGGGGAATAATTACTTACCAAATTTTTAAATCTATTTTTTCTCCCACAATCAACCCTGATTTCTCAGGTCTGAAGCTTGGGAAGCTTCATCGCCCAGGCCACTGAACTGCACTCCTGGAGAGGAGGCCAGTGCTGTGAATGCTTCTGGGGCCGTTTGAACCTGGAGCTGCCTTTTCTCTCCTACTAAAATCCAAAAAAACAAGAGATGAATAAAGGAAGCTCCCCCAGACAGCATAGGGCAGTGGACCTATTTCCTGAAGCCCCAGCGACCTCGCAGCTGACCCTTGCCAGCTTCTCATCAAACTCTCAGCCCAAGAGCAATTAGCCACAATCCACATATCAGCAAAGTTTTTTGGGGCTTGGATTACAAATTGCCATCGTCTCTGAGAAGAAGAGAGGGAATCTGAGAAGAATGTTTCTCCGCGGCTGAGGATTCACAGGCGCCCGCGAGCCCACCCTGCAGGGATCTTCGAAAGGTAAGGTGCGCGCCGGCGTCCTGGGTCTGCTGCGGAAAGGGCCTCTTTGGGGTGCGTCCGGGTGGATGGTTCTGTGGAGCACCTGCTTCCGTGAGGATGATTGCTTTGTGCTCCCTCAGGATGAGGGTTTTGTCTCCAGAACTCACAGAAAGTTGCTGCCATTTTCTGTGCCTTCCAATCTCCCAGTTGCTCAGGTGAGGAGCCCTGGATGCATCGCAAATTGACCTGGGCCCGTGAGTCTAACTGATAGAGAAGAATCTCACCTGTTTGTTTCATGATTTGGAGCGCACAGGGCTCTGGGAAACAAACCAACACTATTAGGACAAATTGAGTCATAAAGAAGAATGTTATAAATGGGATCCAATTCGTTTTAGAAAGCATTTCAGTTTAGAGTACACAGCTTAAATAAACCGGCTTTTCCTGGATCTGAGAAAGAACGAGGGTTGGAAGGTGTAGGGTCCCCATGAATAGCCACTGCCGCCTTGGGGAAAACAGAGCATCTGAAACGGTGGGGGAAGGGATGTGGATGGGCCTTACATGTTCCATGTGGAACAGAAGACCGGTGCGGTGAGGGGGTTCCCCTTGGCTCCCCTTGGCTCCCCTGCTGCAGGCACCCCCCGGGCTCCTGCTCAGCTTCCTCGGGCCGGGAGCAAGGATGAGAAGCCCCCAGTATAGCCCTCAGACTTCAGGAGATGGATAGTGGGGCTGAGGGTGGGTTCTTTTAAGCTTTCACGATGGCAAACTTTTCCAAAGTCAAAGGTGAGAAGCAAAGCCTCCTATGTCTCCAGAACTGGCTATAATTTTTCTAGTTTTGTGCATTCTTGTTCAGTTGACAAAATCATGTTTAAAAGTATAAAGCAATTATTTTCGGGTAAAAGTGGCCATACCCGGTACACTCGATACTTCCACACGGTAGTGCGGGCGTGGACACTCTCAGTGGGGAATCTCACTGTGTTTCCAGAGTCACCAAAATGATGATAACCTTTGACCCTCTAATTCCAGTCTCAGAAATTTCTCTCATTATTTCGTACGAAGCTAAATAATGTGCGTGAAAAGATACATAATAATGGACAGTGATTGGCAAGAAAAGGGTGATGAGGGAGGTGTCTGTAAACTGGTGCATAACTGTTGGACTTTTGTTGTGAAACCATTTAACCATATGGAAATCATGAATGACAATGTAAAATGACCAAGGCGGACACGGACGTGTATGGTACATGTGGATTACATGGATGAGAAAAATTAATTCACACAGAAAGGAAAGCCAGAAAGAAATGAGCGGCCTTTTTTAAGTCTGGTAATGAGGTGTATTCGATATTTTAGAGCAATTTTGGATATATTTGAATTTGTGTTTAGCCTCTTATTTTATGCCTTCTACTTATTCCACCTGTGCCGGGCAGAATTCCAAGTGTCCTCCGGTTCCCTCCCCAGCGTGAAGCTCCCTCTCCCGGCGTGTGGGTGGGGCTGTGAACAGCGGGCGGGCGGCCACTTTGATCAGGCCACATCACCCAGGACCATCTTACAGCCTCTATGCTGCCTTGTCTGAGAGGCCACAACGTGGGGAACTTCCAGAGCTGAGAGCAGCCCCCAGCCAGCAAACAGCCAGAAGAAAATTCCACTTCAATCTTGGAACCTCAGGGAGCTCAATTCTCACTGCAACCCGTGAGCTCGGAAGAGGTCCTGAGCCTCACATGCTATCACAGCCCCGGCTGCTGTGCTTACAGCCTGGTGAGACCCTGAGCGGAGGACCCAGCCCACCCACCTCCAGACTCGTGGCCCGCTGAGAGAACGAGATGATGTGTGTGTGCTGTTGAAAGGCGCTAAGTTTGTGATGATTTGTCATGCAGTATCATAGCACACAACACAATACACACCTGCTTCACGGTTGTTTGTTTTTTCTTGAATTATTTTAGATTTGTTGGATTTTTTTCTCTGAGTTTATTTTTCTCCCTCTACTGGTATAGCAGTTATCAACTGTATTTCTGTTTCTTTAGTAGTTGTGGTGATTAACACAGAAAAGTAACATATCAGAGTCTGAAGGTAGTCCATAGATTTAGCATTGGTAGGTGACTTTAGAAATAGAACAATTCCATTCATCTCCTTCATCTTGACTTTTATGCTATTGCTGCTACTTATTGGTATCCAGCCTTGATTATTTTCCTTATAACTTACTAGACATGATTACTACTGCTTTATACAGTCAGTGTTTACTTGGGTTCCCCATGGGTTTACCATGCTTCACACCTCCACGATATCTTTCACTTCAGACCACACAGCTGGAATCACACACCCTTCTGCTTAATACCACACTCCCCGTTTCTGGCTTTCTGCAGGTGCCTTTCCTCCTCTGCATCTGAAGGATGATTTAGCTGGGTATAGGATTTGAAGCAGTCACTTTCTGTGCATTTGTCAGGATATAACTCTGCCTTTTCTGGTTTCCATTGCTGATGAGTCAGCTGTTGGTTTTTCCTTGTTTGAAGTACTTTATCCTTTCTCATTGGATGCTTTGAAGAGGTACTCTTCCTCTCATTACGTGCATTAGTTTGCTGTGCTGTATCTAGGTATGCCTTTTTCTTCATTATGATGCTTATGAATCGTGGGCATTTTTCAGCCTGTGCAGTCTTATCTTCTGTGAATTATGGAAAATCTCAGCTACTATTTATTGTCTCTGACCCAGTCTTACTCTTTCATTTTTCTTTCAAGATTCTGGACAGATGTATGCCATAACTAAATAATACCCTTTCTGGTTTTTAAGCCTTCGTTTGTATTTTCTGTCTTTTTATTTCTCTGTGCTGCCTTCTTTATAATGTCTTCACATCTGTCTCTTCCAGGTCATTAACATTTTCATCAGCTGAGCTAATCTGCTTTTAATGCTGTCAATTATGCTTTTAATTTAATTATTATATTATCTTAAAAATTGTTTTAGGTTTCCAGTTTTCATGTCACCTGTCCTTTTACCCATATTTTAGATCTTTATTTAAACATATTAAACAGTCTTTATTTTCTGTGTCTCATATTTAACATCTTCATCTGTTGCCATTTTAAAGTTTTCATCTCTCTGCTGAAATTTCCCATCTGTCCATGAATAGTGTTCATCATTTCCACTAGTGCCTTTAAAGTATTAATCATAGTTATTTAAAGTCTCTGTGTGTGGTGGTTCTGAGTCTTGGGTCATATCTGAATCTGGTTCTAATGATTGCTTTATTTTTTAACAGTAAGCCTCCTCTGCTGCCTCCCTGCCTTCCTCCTTCCCCCACCCTCCATTTCTCTCTCTTTTTATTTCTCTTACATGTTTGGTTGAAAATGATACAATATGTGGGGGCAATACTGAGTACATATTCATGCATGGGAAACTGCAGGTCCTTTCTGCTTGGCCATTGAAGGCTGAGTCCGTCTAGCTGGGAGTTGAGCTGAGTCTGGGATTTCTTGCCTCAGCTGCAAATCCTCAAGTTTCACTAGAGGGGAGGGACTGCTTTGCCAGGTGATTTTTCTTCAGGTTTGCTTCATTCTCTGTTTTGGGCTTTTTGTTCTTACCATGCCCCATGCGCTTGCCTGTCCCACGGTAGTCTCCTGTGGTTCCCACACGGCTCCTGCTGGCCTTGGTGGATGCCAAAGACCTTCTCTGTTGTCCTGGGGCAGATTCAGCCTTGGGCAGGCATGGCCTCCCTGGTCTTGGGAGGAGAGACTTCTCTCAGCCACTCTTTCTGTCTCTGGGCAACAGGAAATCTGTGATGATTCAGACCCAAGATGGTTTCCTGCCCCTCACCCAGGGGTAGAGGGATTTTCTTTTCCCTTCTTCCAGCCACAACGGGTTTTCATCTGTGCTTTCACGGGGAGCGACAGTGTTTGCTGGAGAAGGGTCCAGGTGAGGCTTCCTGCAAACGCCCTCATACCTGTGACTCCTGCAGGCTTTCTGATCTCACATTAACCCACTCTTGGCTAAATTCCTCTGGCTTGTCTCTAACCAATGGGCAGCCCACCCTCCTCCTGTGTCGCAAGCCAGGTGAGGCAACACTCTTGCCCATCTCTTCTTGCAGGCACCTGTCTCTAGATTTCAGTCTAGTTGGATGACCTGCACCCTCAGCTGCTTGAGTTCCGGGGAAAGACATGAGGGTGGGTCATCAGCTTTGCCTTGTTGACAGGCATGAGCGGCTGTCTCTCCCAGCTGTCTGGATCTGCTCTTCAGCTTCCAGCAACTGCTCTCTATGGTACCTTGAGCCAGTTCCCTCTGAGTGCACTCCATTTTTTCTCCAGTCCTTTGCTATTCCAAACACCTTTGTGAAAAATAACGTTATTTCTCACACCTGGGAGTATCCCTGAATAAACAGCTAGAAGTGGAGTTGCTGAGTGGAAGGGATGTCGCATCCGCAGTGTTGATGGGAGTTGCCACGTTGCTCCTGCAAAGGCTGTAGGGGCCCCTGACACACAGCGCTCGTCCACACACCCTCACCATGCTTCCTTGATCTGTACCTGCCTAAGAAATGAAGTTCGTTTCTATGTAGTTTTAGTTCACTTTTCTCTTATTAAAATGTGGTCCAGCTTCCTTTCATATGTTAAAGCTATTTGCATTGAACTATACACCCAAAAAGAGTGAAGTTTTTTGATTTTTTTTTTACTACAGTAAAAAGCTATTTACATTATCATCTATGAACTAAATATTCATATTTTTAACCACTTTACAATTGATGTGTTGGTCTTTGTTCTGTTTCAGTTGTTTCTTCTGGGTTTCTTTGATGATATTTTTCTAACGTCGTATTCTCCTTTAAATAATATTGGGAGGTGTGGGCATTCTTGTTTTCCCCTTGACTTTACCAGAAATCCTTTGCTACTCTCAGTTAGCTGTAGCGTTGGCTGTGGGTTTGATGTGGTCAGTCTTTATTAGAAGAAATACTTCTATTCCTACTTCTTAAAAACATCTTTTTGTCATGAAGCATGTTGTTTTCTCCCCCCAAAATGTAATGAAAATTAAGATTAGCATTGCATTTAATTTACGAATTTGT